GGGAGTGGGGAGCCGGGGACCCGCGGGGTGCCGAGCGCTGGAGGAGGGCTTGCCTTCTGCGAGGCGCATCCTGACTCCTCGTCTGGGGCGACTTCGGGTCCCGAGGCCCCGTTCTCAACTGAGCCGCCTCGCAAACTCCCCGGCTCCCAGCGGTTTGGCTCCTTGCTCTGGACACCCCCGAATCTGGCCCCTTTACGCCAGTCACGTCCTTACGGCTGGCGAGTAGCCTGCGAAGCCTGGGTCTCCCTATTCTTGGGGTGGCTACATGGGGCTACAGTAGGACACAACGTCCTTGGTGCTGGGATGACCCGCTTCTGTCCCGAACACAGGGAGCCGGGGAGGTCTGCCCTCGTGTCTGCCGCTGCAAAGGCTGACCGATTCCTCAGTGCAAGCGCAGACAGGTATACACTTTGCAGAGCGTGTTTCTAGGTGCATTCTGGTTATTTCGCCTTTGTAGTGTGTGGGGTCTTTCCTGTGTTTGGCCCCTACCTGGATTTCTAGGGTCATCCGTCCCTTCCCGGGGACTCGCCGCGCGCACACGGACTGCCCGCTTGGTACCTTACCTTGCTCGCGTTGAGTCTTTCCCCCCGTCTTCGGCGACTTCAAATCCAGGGAAGTTCTACCTGGCGCTGAACACGCTGGCGTTTCCCAGTGGTGGTTTCCCGAGTTCCCAGAAAACCTAGTAGGAAACCGCGCCAGCTACCTTGCCTTTTCTCTTTTCCCTGATCTGATGAGTCGCTGGAATCCTGTGTTTCCTTGCCGAGGTGCGTGGATCATGGGCAAATTGTTTGAGTTCTAATTGAGATGGGAGGTGTGATGTGCAGTCCTGCGGGGAGTCCTTCATTTACAGAAACATCTTGTTGAGTACCAGATCGGGTTAGCAGGCTGCACCTGCTCGCTTTCCACCGCCAGATGCCTGGGGCCCCGCTGGTCCTGGGTTTGTGTCAGACTCTGAAGACACGATCTGTTTCTTAATGTCCTTCATTTGCTCTGCCCGTTCAAATTCCTTCGGAAAATTTTCTGCTAAAATACTTGGGTGGTTCTTTGCGGGAGATAATGGTATCCGATGGCTCCAAGACGGCTCAAAGCCATCGCCTTTGGTTCAGTTCATACTACAGGTGCGAAGGGCGGGAAATGGGCAGCGATTACGTCCCAGGCCCGACCCGAGGGAACCACTCCCCAAGCTCTTTCTCCGCAGGTGCTTTTCACTTTAGATTTCCCATTGTCATACATTGCCTGTCAATAGGAAAAGAGGCAAGATAAGCGACACTCTTTTCTTAAGAGGTTTACTTCTTTTGGGGGTAGGGGGAGGTAATTAGATTTATTTATTTATTTTAATGGAGGTACTGGGGATTGAACCTAGGACCTCCTGCATGCTAAGTATGCATTCTACCACTGAGCTATACCCTCCCCCAAGATCCCAAGAGGTTCACCTCTTAATGCAGTCTTGCAGCCCAATACATCCTCAAAATTAAAAAAAAAATTAATTACCTTCTAGTCTGAGTGTTATAGTTTCTTTGTGATCTAGCTCCTAGACATGCTTAAATTCATTTTGTGACTAAAATGCTTTATTTTGTTAAGTATAAAGGCATCTTGCCCCTACTCTCACCCCCGCCCTCCACATGTATACTCTTTATAATCAGGATGTAGTTGATCCCTAATATAAATGGCTTTTTGAAGTATGTGTGAGTGAGACTGGTAACTGAGTTGCACTGACATCATCCCCACAGGGCATGTCCCAGTCACCTTCAAATGCTGGGCATTGTGGCAATGGGGAACCGTTTGCCAACCTCAGAAGTATTCTGGGAACAGTGAGTTCCAGAAAATGGGTTTGAGGCTTATTATTTATTTGACTTATTTATTTACTATTTTTGATTCCTCCACATAAGGCAAAGTGCTTTGAAGAGCTCACCACACACGTTCATGGTTCTCACTAAAGAAGCCTCATGTAAGGTAAGATCTATTCTGTTCTCCCTGCTGTTGGTTAATTTAACAGATTTTACTGGATGTCTGTGATGTATAGAGAGAAATAATGGTATGATGGTGTGTGGCAGCAAATCTATCAGAGGGTTTCTTTGCAGGTTTCCTGAGTTTTTCTTTCTCTTTTTTAATGAGGGCAGATGAAGGCTGACAGAGCTGATTAATGAGAATGATTAATCATACTAATCATTAAGTAAACTTGGACTCATACATTAGAATAAATGTATGAATGAAAGATTAACCCATCACAGGCAAAATTCTCTTATTTGGCCTCTATTCTAGATCAAGTCTCAGCCCGTTTGATAATATTCCTTCTTCCCTGGGCTCACTCTTCTCCCTGTGCTTGTATTTTAATATCCTTTTGTTTGTTTGTTTGTTTGTTTTTTGCTTTTTAAAGAAAAAGTTTGTAGAATTTATGTATTTCTATATTTAAACATATTTTTATATTTAATTAGTTATAACAGAAAAGCAAAATTATGGCTGCATTTTTGTGTTTTGCTCATTTGGGTTTTTTTAAATAGTAATTTAAGAACCTGGAAAAAAAGTCTTTGACATCAGGGGCCATTCAGTGAACTTTGTTAAATGAAACTAGAAGCCAAAAAGTAGTGAAACTAGAAGCCAAAAGGAGAATGCCATTTTCTTCAAATAGATATGTATGGATCATATTGCTTTATTATATTACTACATTAACACAAAGCATCACAAACTTAACTTTTATAGACTATTTCATAACTGTTCAAAATGACAACTAAAAATAATGCAGCCTTTAAGTTAATTAAAGGAATTAGGGAACCCAACAGAAAGGAAGTTCAAATTAAGTGCCTGAGTGGCAGGATTCCTTTTTGCTAACAGATGTACCTAGAGAAATCCAACCAAGGGGTTAGATGCAGTAGTCCATGATACCACATGTGGACCTGCCTTTGATTCAGAACTAGGGAGTCCATCTGTGCATCCACTGGCCTTTTCAGCTCCAGGGTAGCAGGCTACTGTGCCCCGTTCTGGGGCCTCACCACCTCTGACTCTGATTTGTGGCAGATATGTCCATGGGACAGAGTGTTCTGGGGTCTCAGTCTCATGACATACAACCCCTCCTGCAAGAGCTCCTTATGAACAGAATCCACACTCATGCTAACATTTGGAACCAAGAAATAGTCATTATTTAGCCTGCACTAAGTTTTGATGATAACAACCACAAGAAAATGGAGATTCTGAGTAGTCAAGTAACCATATGCAATTTACCAGTATCTCTAAATGTGAAATGGCACAATCCAGCCAAAACAGTGTCACTATTTCAAACCTCTGAATTCACATCAGGAACAGGATGGGCTGTCATTAATATTTCCTAAATTATCAACTATTAAGTTGTATTAGGATGGGAGATCAGTCAGTCCAGATCTACAATTTGTATTATCGGCTTGATCACTGTCGCTGATACTATTATAGACAATAGTGAACAGGTCTGGAAATTGTAAGCCTATAATAGTTCTTTTTAAAAGGGTAGCTTCAGAAGGTAACAGGCCCAAATACAGTTTTTGATGGGAATCAAAAAGATAGGTGGCTGTTAAGAACCTGTTTCAAACTCAGAAAGACAGGAAGATGACTTAAACCATGGTTAAAACATGAGAGAAGTTCATCTGGGGAACTTTTAACCTATAGATTTGCTTCCCAGAGGTAGCCAAGACATCAGCTTTCCCGATTCATCTGCCACAGTAGTCCGGTACTGATCAGAAGTGCCTGGCAATCTATCAACTGTTGCCAATTAAGCTGGTTTAGTTCTTATTCGCTTTCAATTTTCTTGTGCCCAGGATTATAGCAGAAGGATTTGCTCTTCTCATTTCTTAAATAGAACATTCAGAACATGCTATAAAATGCAACTGTAACAGAAAGCACAGTCAAGTCCTATTGGGCAGGTTCACTTACTGCCCTCAAGCCTGAGAGACTTAAACTTTGAAATGAAGGGTACATACGAACCATTTCAAAGGCTTGTGTTAAGTATATATGTTACAAAAAAAAAAGGAGGAGGAGTAGGAGGAAGAGAAAGAGTTCTGGGCTTAAAAACCAGTTACATTTTCACTGTATAAGCTATAATTAAATTTTATTTCTATTTCTTAATGAAAATACCTGTATTTTTTCTCATTAAAATTCAGTTCATGTTCTTTGAATCAAAACTCAGTACAGACATGCACAAAATAGAATATGAACATACCCAGAATATCACCCGCTAACAAAAACATATGTTAACAGCATGCTGCATAACCTCCTATTTCCTTCAGTTTAGTGTAGTTTAATTTAGTCTGGTTTGGTTTGGTTTGATTTTTGCATGCCTCTAAAATTGTGTATGCATGTGTAGTTTCAGTAGCCGTACTAGTAGTTTTTATTTTTTTTACAAAAATGGAATAATACTATGCACGGTTCTGAAGCTTACTTGTTGACTTTTCCATATATATCCAGCATCTTTCCATGTTAGAAAATATAACCCTCTTGATTACATCAGAATCCTCCATTTATTCGACCGGTCCTTGACTCATGGACATCTTGGTAGCTCCAGTGTTTCACTACAGAGCATATCTTTGTGCATGTGCCTTTTACATTTGTCTTGATTTTTTTTCCCCATAGGGTAAATTCTCAGAATTTCTTATTTATATTATTAGCCTATAATGCCAAACACTTTTGGATAAAAAAGGAAGCACTCAATAATTTATCCAACAAGTAGTAAATGTTCCCCACTGTGACCTGGGGTATCTTCTATATGCCTGACAGATTTTTTGCACTTAAAAAACAATTTTTATTGTTCTTTAATATTCATAAAGTACACAAGTACATAATTTATGATTTGTGTGTTCAATCTGAACACACCTATGCAAATGGAACCCAGGTCAAAAAATAAAATATTTACCCAGTATCCTCCTTTGTGCCCCTCATATGCCTTGGCAACCAATTGATCAGTCCAACGCTTCCTCATGAGAGAGTTCTTGGTGAGCTTGTTGACCTTGATTTTCATGAGTCAACTGGTAGATTATTGGCACTGTGCCTTTCAGACTGACAGTGGAATACTGATTGACGCTTCTCAGACCTTCAAAAAGACTCCTTGTCAACAAAGTTGGCCTAGTTCACTGGAATTAATTTCCAAGATCTATCATTCTGTCCTCTTATCACTTTATCATCCCTATCAGTTTTGGCCTCAGATTTGTCCACTGGACCCTGCTTGGCACACACTTGGGTTCACATGATGAATTAATCTCTGGATAACAAAAGAAATCGGTTAACTTGTTTTTCATATGGTTTGCCCTTGTTGGCCACCCAGCTCAGCTGAGTAGAGAGTGGATTTAGAGCTGGAAAGGAGTTGTGGGCCCCCAGTTTATGGTTTCTGTCACCAGCTGTCTCCTGCCAGCCCATCAAAATTTACTTAACTTTTGGAGACCGCAGTTTCTTGATTTTTGAGGACTTCCAGCTCCTTGATTCTATGAAAAACATTTTCCTTTAATGTCGCTGTTGTTGTTTGTTTGTTCGTTTTTATAGAGGAAAGTTAATACTGAGAGAGACCATATGGAAAGAAGGAATAAGATACATGATAAGTGCTTTAAGTCAGTTCCACAAAGAAAGAGGAGAAAAACGTGTGCTTCTGCTGTGCTGCCGTGTTTTCATTCTTTTTATTATGCTTCTAAGAAGCTGAGGTCTGTATCTGTTTCTCAGCACAATACTGCTGAGGAGCTCACTGCTCCCATCACCGTGGCTATGATCTCGATGAAGTGCTACTCTCAAAGGCAGGTGCACGCACCAGTGTCAGCCCTTGAATTGTTAACTACTCATTCACCACGACAGATGGAACTTGAGCCAGACTATAAATCAAATAAGGCACTAAACACACTTTTTACTTTAGATGACTTTTTTTGCAGTAA